AAAAAAAAGAAAAAACCACAACCCAAACCCAAAATAAAACCCAGAAATAATACTGGTTAGGGCAAGAAGTGATTTCAGCTCTATGGCTGTTGAGGAGCCCCTCCCTGCTTGTCCCCATCTTCACTCCTATACCAAGGTGAAACCAAGAAATCCATAAGCCAGGAGTAGTGTCAGTGTGGAACATCTTCCAGGCTGCCTTTGTCTGCTCGCTAATAATGAAAGTCTATTTATAGCTCAGTGCAGAGCAGGGAGAGTGTGCTGTGGGTGACAACGTGATATGGATTTCACAGTCCATCAGTTTGGATTTCAAGTTTGCAGTCCTCTCTCTGACTAATTGAGAAGTCAGACACTGTTTTGGGATGTTACAGGCAATGCAAAATAGGGCGCTTGGTGCTTTTTTAGCGAGCATTTGGGGTCAGGTTGGTTGGGGCGACGTCAGAGCTCTCTGAGATCAGGCCGGCTCTGCACAGTGGCCTTAGAAAACCCATCTCATGGAGAGAGGTTTTGCATGCTGAGCGTCAATGTGCTCGTGGGCTTAATAACTGTCATAGCCCATCACTCCATGATAATAACTAGTAGAAGTCCCAGATTAGACCTGCAGCCTGGCCCTGGGACCAGGCACTGCAGATACAGTGGGGGCATGGTTGCACCCATGCTACAGAACCTTCCAATCTCTCTTCCTTCTTCTCCTCCTGGACCTCACTATTTGGGCTACCAGTGCCCTGTCCCCCCACCTATTTCTGTGGTTTCACAGTGAAAGTGTGCCAAAACCCATGCAACAGCAAAAGGAAAAGGGGAGAGGATGGTTTGACACAGCCCAGCTTCATCATTCTCTCTTTGCTGTACTGGCACAGCTGAAGGGTGGCATCAGAACAAAAATGGGGAAGTACTGGGAGAGAGATGAAGCTGCCCTCAGGGAAGAAACAGGACACATTGGGAGCTGGTGGGCAGCAGATTTCACCAGTGGTACTGTCTTGAAAAACAGCTCCTGCTCCAGAAGAGTAACATTTAAGCTGACAAATGTTGGAAAGAGTAATAGAGGCACAGAGGTTGAATTGTTCTCCTGGCAGAGTGAAAAACAGAAGTTGTGTCTTCTCCCACTCAGTCAAGTCTATCATATTGATCCACTGATGAATGGATCATGCCACCACCCTATGGGACCAACAATATACTTAGCCTTTCTGTGGAGAGGTAGAAGGAATGATCCAAGGGGAATATGCCCTTCCCATGTAGGACCAAAGTGAATCATACCCCAGAAGTGGGCCTGACCTGCAGTGACCATTTGATCATTGGTGTGACCACATGGATGGGTCTCATCACATCTGCAGCTTCATTGCTGTGCCAGTGTCACAAAGCTGATTGATTGTACTCAGAGCAGTGTAAACAGGGCCAGATTAACAGGGAGAGGAAATACTCAAGTTGGACACTTAGTGGTCCCAGATTGCTGGGAGCAAGCTGCTGTCTGTGGTGCTGGGACTTGGTTGCTTCTTCTACTTTCTCTTGCTACCAATCGAGTCCTTTGGCCTTAATTCCATCCATTTTCATTCAGTGTTTTTAGACAAGTACCTGGATGAAGCAGTCCTTCCTGGTGCCTAGCCTTTTTCCATTGCCATTTTACCTGGTAACCCTTTTCCTCAAGGGTGAAAAGCCTATTTTTAGAACCTAAACCCCTCACCACAAGGAATTTAGGATGAAGTCCATGCCAGGGGCTATTTTGTTCAAATAATTCATTTTCACACAGAAGGTGCTAAGAACTATATGCTGAAGTGCCTTTGCCTATATTCAGGTGTTGCATATACCACTCAGCCCTGGTTGTTCTGAGATATGGTATCTATGAATTGAATACAGTGCCTAATTTCAAGCTGATGGGTTTCAGAATTTTAGTATTTGCTTTTCAGGTTTTTCCCTCTTGCACGTCAGTCTGGTGTTATTTTAGGCAGACCATATGCTGTCTTGGGGCAGGGAGACAGACTACATGACCTTCTGCATTTTGCCCCTTTTTTTCTGTCTAGAAAGTTGTTGATAAGTCTCAGTAGTTTTGTATAAGAAGAATCTGTCTAAAGCACTGCAAGTGCTAGAGCTTTATTTAACATTCACTTCCAAACTGGCTCACTTTTCACCAATTCTTTAAACACAAGATAGCCCTAGCTCAGTTAACTATTTATGATTTCAGCAATGGTTGATCTCACTTCATGGTCATCTCTTGAGAAATCTCAGGGTCCTATGGGATCCTGAACTGGAACTCAAAACTTAGACATACCAGTAGGCAGCTGGGTCAGCATTCACAAACAGTTTGATATAGCAGATTTCATCATCCCACTGGAAATTCAGGTGCCTATATGCCTTTGTAGGCCTGATCACTAATTACTTCAGAGTTTGGAAGCTGCTTATTGGTCAAAGGCTGAGACTTGTCTTGAGATGAACACTTACCCCCCTTTCCATTGCCAGATCCCTGAGCCCCTGAGGAGCCTGAGTATGCATAGGCCTATGGGACCAGATGAGAAGCCTCCTAGAGGCCTGAAGGAATTGGTTGATTTGGTTGTCAAGCAGCTCTCCAAGATATTTGAAAAGTCATGGCAGTCAGGTGAAGTCCCTGGTGACTGGAAAAAGGAAAACATTGAACCCACTTTTAAAAAGGGTTTAAAGCAGGACCCTGGGAACTTTTGACCTGTCAGCCTCACCTTTGTGCCTGGGTAGATCATGGAATAAGTCTCCTAGAAGCTGTAAGACACATGGAGGACAGGGAGGTGATTTGGGACAGCCAGCACATCTTCACCAAGGGCAAGTCCTGCCTGACCAACCAAGTGGCCTTCCATAATGGAGTGACTGAGATAATTGGGGTTGTTTGGCCTGGAGGAGGGAAGGGTCCAAGGAGACCTTAATGTGGCCTTTAAGTACTTAAAAAGAGCTTGTGAGAAAGATGGGGATCAACTTTTTGGTAGAGTGTGTTTTGTTAGGACCAAGGGTAATGGTTTTAAACTGAAAGAGGGTAAATTTAGACTAGATATTAGGAAGAAATGCTTTACTATAAGGGCACAGGTTGCCCAGAGAGGTTGTAGATGCCCCATCCCTGGAAACATTCAAGGCCAGATTGAGTGGTGATCTGTTTGACAATGTCTCTGCTCATTGCAGGTGGTTGGACTAGACGGCCTTTAAAGGTCCCTTCCAACCTAAACCATTCTATGATTCTATGATCCTGTGTTCAGTTTTCACTTTGATGAGAGGAATAACATCTTCTGTGTCAGAGGAAAATCAGACATTTTGAGGCACTCTGCATGAGCTAACTGACATTGCAGGACAAGGCAACAAGAAAAGGCAACAGTGAATTACGTCCTTTCAGTTTTATTTTAAAACTAGGGAGACTTTGAACATCGTACTAGGATAATACAAACTCTAGCATCCACTGAGTTTTAATGCAGCTGGATTTAGATTCCCTATTGCCATTTTCAACTTTCATCTCATTCCCTTCTCTATGTTTTCAGTTAAGTTCAGACCTTTTCCATTGACAAGTGTGTAATTCAGTCTACTTGACATAGTCCCAATATGTGATAACAAAATATTAGATACTGGCTGTGAGAAAGCAAGAAATTTGTGGCTTAGCCTCTTGAGATTCCCAGCTCTCTCCTCCTGCCCAAACACGCCCACACAGAGTAATTTGTCAGCCTCAGGCAGCACAGCAATACAGCCACAAGTTACCAGTTTCATGAGTTTCTAAGATCAGTTTACTGATAAAGCCTCCTCACCTCGGATCATGTTTGATGACAGAGACCGTGACTTGAATCTTATAAGGGAAAAGTTCTGGCTAATCCTGCATCCTTGCTGCCAATGGCTTGCTGTAAAGACACTTAGAAAGGGGAAAAAATATCTAATTTAGTCAGCAAGGCTAAAAATGCACTCTTAGAAAATGTAAGAAGCAAATTCCCAAATTGTTACATGTTCTGATAAGAAGCAGTCTGAACACAACACATTGTCCTTTGTCAAAAGCAATTTGCTTCTTGCCTTTGCTGAGTAGCCCTTGGCTTCTGCTTTTGCACTGGGCAAAATGCAACCTATATCACCTTTCTATTGAAGAATAAAACAGCCTGCTGCTAAATGAAAAGCACAGCAGCTTCAGGTTTACTAGTTTTATCCATTGTAAAATCTGCGACGGTGAGGAACAAACTATATGGCTTGTTTCAAAACTGGAATAATGTTGTGATCTTCTCCAAGCCCTTGACACTAAAACTCAAATGTTGCCTATGCTGGGTACAAGATTCATCATTTTAATTGACTCCACTCTTCTCTGTAGTAACAACTGTTACTCGATCAAAGTAACTTGGTCTTGTTCAAAGGCTGATTTGATATTCATAACCCTCTGCATATGAATTCCCCAAAAAACAACTGTTTGAGTGGCAGCTCATGATGATAATCAGTCCTGATTTCTTTGTTCAAACCTTGAACCTCCAGCCTGTTAGACTTTCCCACACAGCACTTTGTGTCCCTTCTTTTGAGGGATGCATTCAGAGAGTCTTCAGAGACCACCAGTACCACCTGCATGTTTTACATATAGATACTTACTCATAAACACAGTTCTTTTGTGCACTTTGATTTTAATTAACAGGTTGTCACTGGAAGAATCAGTCAGATATGATAAAGGTCTTGGAAGCCATATCGATAGGACACTGTGCTAAAATGCTCAGATCATTAGGGGCAGAGACTGTCAGCCTGGGCCTATTGTTTCAATTTTTAGAATTACTGCAAGCTCTGCTAACTCAGACACCAGCAGGAGACACCCCAGAGTTCAAGCAAATATCTATGGCTGTGGGTACCACAGGAGGTTGTTTCCCAGCCAAAACTATTGGTGTTGGCACATGAATGGGGGAAAACAGAGGTGGGGATAGTAATTTTTTGGCTTTGCCAATTTGTTTCTTCCTCTGTCTTGGAGGATGTCGATGCCTTCCTCTACAAGGCGTGGATGGCTTGGCTGCTTCATATTGAGGGTTTCTCTTGTTATAGGTAAACTCCTGCTCCTGGGATGTGTGTCACAGGGAGGCAGAAGCAAACTTTTGGGGACACAAAAAAGGCAATGACTTCTGATGATGTTTTTGGTAAGCTTTTTCAAAGCTGTGTGTTGCACAGTTGTGTGGAAATAGAGATTTGATGTACTTAGCACAGGGAAGCTGTGTTGGCTCAACCTCATCAGGGATTGAACAACTTCTTTGATCCACTCAGAGTCTTGTTTTTCATTGTATTTTCCAAATCTGTCAGTGGTGAGGGGTGAAGGGGAGGGAGGTGAGGGGGAGCCTGAGAGAGCTAGCAGTAACAACATATCCAAGCTTTGACAGAGTCTGGTGGAATAACTTAATTAACTAATGGCCTGTATAGAGCTGTAATGGGATCCGAAAACAGAAAGCTTTTAAGCAAAACTTAAAGCCAACAACATCAATAATGGTGAGCTGAGGGCTCTTACTCCCTTTGTTTTTTCCTGTAAGACTGGTGACACAGCCCCTTACCTACTCTTTATCCCTAAAGGCGTTTCTCCATCTAGTGTCCCTGGGCAACAATTACAGCCAGTTTGATCCCAATGTCCCCTTTCTGCTTCCAGATGGCTCAGGGGTTTCCTCATAAACACACAGAAACGTTAAACAGAGAGGAAGAAGATGGATTTTGGAAGGATGTTTCTTGGAACTGGTCTGGGCTGCAGCCACCTCTGGGAGTGGTTCCGGTCACTGGCTGCTTCTTTGGCATTTGGGAGAGATTTGCTTTGTCTTGCCCTCATGGAGCACATGTAAGTTTTGATCTTCCACTTTTCATCACCTTTTGATACTCCTGCTTTCTCAAGTCTGACTATTTGGGTTTGCTTTGCCAAGCTGATGTGAAAGTCAGGGTTTCAGGCTGTTGGGACACCCCCTTGCCTTCATGCATTTATTTTCAAGGAGGATTTAGTGTATGGGAACTGCCTGCTGCTCCCCAGCATAACCTGCAAACCTCTCACAGCATTATCCCAGCCTGTGGTATGCACATGTGTATGTGAACATGGCTGTGGAGTCCAATGATGTGTTTTAGGCAATATCATGTCTAAACTAGGTAGGCTAGCAGAACCTGTCATGTCACCTTCACTACTTGCCTTCTCTGCTGAGCTGTTTAATGCGAGTAATTAAACCATAGTCTTTATATGCACCGCTGTTATTAATTTTTTGGATGAACATGCCTCCTCTCTTCCAGGCACAGTATTCCTGAGGCCCTGGAACATGCACATATGGTGACACATCCCTCTGTTCCAGCAAGGTAGGTAGTCATGCTGTTCTTCCTCTTCTCCCTAATTTTGTATCACATCCATACATCTTTTTGAAAGCTGAAAGTTGCAGGCTTCTTTTCACATTTCCCTCTCAGCACCAGCTTTTTTTATGTGAGGTCAAATGCAGTTCATTCCTCAGGCTTGTGGGAACTTGCTGGGCATCAGCAACAGCAGTGGCAGAAAGTAAGCTTGGACAGATGGCTCTTGGCCGAATGTCCTGCCTGTCAATGGCTGGCAACTCCTCCGAAATCTGTGGTGCTTCAGGGAGAACGGGCAGGGCACTGCCAGCTTCTGCTCTCAGTCTTGCTGGTTGCACCTGCCAGGGACAACATATGGTCCACAGAACTTCCAGGGAGAGTTGGACAGGAGATTGCTGCAGGTCCCCCACTGAGACCCAAGGCATGTCTGGTTCTGCTGGCTGGCACCAGCTGAAATGCCACACAGCAAAGTGCCTTGGAGTGCTCCTAAGAGGCCATCCCATACTCAGCCAGGAAAGCAGTGAAGGCATCAGGGAATCAAAAATACTGAGCCTTTGCTCTGTCCCACTTAACACCACTTCATCAAAGGATTTTGGGAACCAGTCTGCACATGCCTTTAATGTAAATGTGACATCTGAAGATGATGTACTTGCTCAGCTGGTAGCTGGGAAGAGGAAAGCCATGGTACAGAATGGTCAGGGCAGTATCATTTTCTTGCAGAATAATAGATCACATCCTACTCAGGGATATGTATTCCTCTTGGGGGTCTGTCAGCTTTACACATCAAATCAGGGGACCAAACTCTCTGTCCCCTTAAAATACAAGAGAACTGCCAGATTGATCCACAATGCATGCATCCCAGCAACACAGCCATGCTTTGGAGCTCCAAGAGGAGATCCTTACCCTGAGATATCTTAAGATAACTCTGTTACAGAAACCCCATTTTACATGTGGGGAGGTTTAGTCCTGTGATTCTAATAGAACTAATATTCAAGGGTCTATCAGAGAGAGCGTTGAGTCCTGGTCTCTTGTCTGGACCATGGATGGACCCCTTGTATGGCTTAGCAGGTATTCTGGGAGTCTAAACTTTTGTCCATTTTGGTCCAAGGCAAAAAACTATTTTGTTATTTTGTGAAAATGATCTGATTCTGTAGTCCTCCCACAGGAAGTGGAAACCTGCCAAATTTAGAGAATTTTGATCCCAGAGATACATTCCACAGCTGATCACAAGGCAGTAGTGTCCATAACAAAAGCACAAGGACAGATACTCTGCATGGGAGCAGCAGACTCAGAGAACAGCTCTGCTGGGGTTGGTTCTTATTGCGCATAACTGATCAATGGCAAGAGCAGAAATGCTTCATAATATGGGTAAGACTTCATGTCAATCAAAAGTGTGTCTGTGGCTCTTGGGCACACACCTGAAACAGCATTTAATTGAATAGCATCAAGGAGCTTAACACAAGGTGATTCCGGAGTCCCAGGGGGATTGAGTTACGACTACACTGTAATTACTACTGAAGTTATCTGGTTTAGAGTTTGCTCACATTCCTGTCTTCTACTGTACTCACCACCTCTGTGTGGACTGGTTATCTCCATCAGAAAGAAGTGGTGTAGCATCCTGGGATTCATCTCTCTAAAACCCACTGGGAAGAGAGTAAGACACTTTATATTTCTGGCTAGGAGAAACAATGTTGTCAGCCTCATAGCTTCAATCCTGTAGTCCTGAATCAGCTTTATCATGTGAAGTGACTCTTTGCAAAATAGTTGACACTTCTGATTTCCTTCCGAATTTCTGCTAGATTTGACAGGGCACCTGTCTTTCTGTACTGAGATGCAGAACTTAGCACAGTATGGTTCATGTCTCAGGTGGATTAAGACAATATTTCAGCATAAAGAGGTGATGAGAGTAATTGTTTGGATCAGAGCAATGTGGACCCTTTGTGATAGTCAACAAGACTTTCACATGCCCTCTGGTTGTCACTAGGCACACAGCTTCAAAAGCAGCAAGGAACTTAGCAGTTCTAGAAAACCTGAAAATCATTAAAAAGGTTACGACACAGTTAATCACAATTTCCCAATGAAAGGTGAAATGCTAATTATTTCCCCCTAATTACACTAAAATCTTCAGAGGATTCAAATATTGGCATGACCTATAGTTTACTGAGACCCAGATGACACCCACGTACCACCTAATTAGCAATGACTTCCCACAGAAGGCACCTCTTTAAAGCATTACATTTTCCACATGTTTTTTCATATTAACACTGCAAAAATAACCTTCCCTACTTGGTACAATAGGGGATGAGTCAGACACATCATTGCAGAGCACCCAAAACCTTCCCCGACCAGAATAATCCTTGTAACACTTGCTAATAAGTGGAAGCGGAGGGAGTCTGTTCTCACCTCCCTGTCAATGGGAGTTAAGTGTGCGTAGGGAGGAGAGAACACAATTAAAATGAATCATTTGCATTAGATACACATTATAACGAATACACACTAACCATCAGGGAATAATTACCTGGTTTTATTAGTAACCAGGTCATGCTTTAGTCTGTGGCCCTGCAGCCATAAGCTATAACTTGCCCCAGCTTCCAAGAGGCAGCAATGCTTCAGAGATATCCAAGTTGAGCCCACAGCTGCTGGGGAGAGCAGGGCAGGCAATTAACCACCAGTGTCAGACCTTTGTGTGTCCCTCAGCTCCACTGTTATTTTTTTCTGCCCTAGTAGAAGACAGGAAAAGTGGAACTTCACAGACATGGAGGTCATGCTTTGGATTCATTACCTTATGGAGCAGCAGCATCTTCTTTTCCCATGTGAAGCCTACAGAAAGGAAGAAGGAGTTTCACTTAGAGTTCTTGCTGGATCTGTCAGCTCCACAAGTTGTTCTGTTTTGCCTAGGATTTAGTCACCAGTGAACAATGTGAATAAATCATTCTCATGACAGCACTGAAATACAGACAGTCTTTTGGATGCTTGGGAAGTGGGGTAAACAGGTAAAGCTGGATGTCACTCCATATGGAAATGTGTGTATTTGCTGCAGGCATTTTCTTATGCAAAGAAGATTGACATTTCTTGCAGGTTGATGCTCCCAGTTGCAGTTATCAGTAAAGAAAAATCTCTAGGTGTATCAGACATTGCCTAGGGAACCCAGCGGGAGAGAGGAAAACTACAAATGAAATAGGTTAATACAGAAAGAGTTTGTCCTTATCTCTCCGAGCTGTCTCCCCAAATCTAGTTAACACAGGTAATAAATAAAGCCTCAAGGAGAAGGCACTTCACTTACACAGCTTTTGGCTTTCTAAAGCTGCAGTCTGACAGAGAAACTGCTCCATGTTTTCTCCACCTGCTAATCCTAGTGGTAGTATGGGACATGATACAGCAGTCAGTGCAACTGGGATACTCTGTGCAAACATTTCCCTGCTGCAAAGGACCTTGGTGGGGTGAGGTAAAACACTAACAGTAATTGGGAACTCTCACTTCATTCTGAAAGATTGCTTTCCTGTAGCCTGATATGGAGTGAATTCATCTGCCTTAAATAAGATTATCACAGGTAAAACCCCACCTCAGGGGAATGGGAAGGTTGAACAACAAAGTAGGTTATAGTTCAGTGTGAGAGCTACGCTTACTTTCTCATGTAGAGAAACAATACATGTGGAACTCATTCCAGGATGAGAAAAAGAAAAAAAAAGGCAATTTTCCTGGTATTTTTAAAGCGCCAGACACTGGAATCCTAAATACACATTATCTAAATGTTTTAAAAAAAATACGCATCATTCTTCTGGGTTTGGATGTATTTGCTTGAATGTATCTCAACCCATTAGTCCTTGCGCTTTTACCCTTCCAGTTCTCTCCCCCACTGCACTGGGCAAAGCACTGAGCAAGTGTCTGCCTGGTGCTTAGCCACCCACTGAGATTAAATCACATCAGTCAATAACATAAATGTCTGGGCACCCCACAGCCCATCTCTCAATTCAAGTCACTGAAGTCTGTGATCCTTCGAGTGGTATTTCATAGAATTACAGAATGACTGAAATTGGAAAGGATCTCTTGAGATCTTCTCCTCTAATTCCTCTGATGAAGCAGGGTCAAGTACAGCAAGATGCCCAGGACTGTGTCTGATTTGGTTTCGAGTATATCTAGGGATGAAGACTCCCCAACATCTTCAGGTAACCTGTTCCTGTTGTGCAGGCTGCCCTCACAATGAAAAAGTTTTCTCTCATGTACTTTCCTTCTGTACTGAAGTGTTCATGAGCCCCTCTGACATAAAGTTGGTATCTAGATTCTTAGGAGGAATCACAGGGAGAAAGCATGTATATCAGTAAAAAGATCTGGTGCTGCTGGATGGCTAATTATTTTACTCCTAAACTTATAAATTGTTTCTTATGTGATAAGTGGAGTTCATTTGCTCTGTTAGGTTCCTCTAGCTAGATGTGCACTCTTGTATGGAACAAAAAACCCTGCGCTTATAGATAACAATCTAATAAATCCATTATTAATAAATATTAAAAAAATCACATTTTCTAGAAAGAGGTGGTTTGATAGAAATTGAATCCTACTATCAAGGATAAGCAACAGGACAATGGGGTTGAAGCATCCTTTATCCCAAAATAGCGCAGAAGTAGAAAAAAACTCCACCATATTTCACCTTATATTCAAGTAGCACTTGATACTTGCAGTTATTATAGATTTTACTTGACATCGAGGTACCATGTTGAGTTTAGGCCAGTAACTGATCACTTGCTCAGGACTGACAGAAGCTCCCAGAAACAGACCTAAAATCTGGAGTAACCATCAGATGTTACAGGAGCCAAGCCAAAATGCATATGGGGGGTATCCCTGCCCACAGCACTGGGTTTGAAACTAGATGATCTATAAGGTGCCTTCCAACCCAAAACATTCTATGATTCTATGACCAAGCCTGCAAAGCAGAAAACACAGTGTTTGTCTAGGATTATGGATTAAAAAGTACTATGGGTCCTGAAGAGACTGTCCCTGTCACAGAGACAGGAAACCAGTAACTATGTTTTCTTCACTGGGTAATACTTCTTTCAGCAGATTGCTCTGAACAGAGCCGGATTCAGTAAACATGTACCTCCACCTGAAAATTTTGGGATAGTATAGTCCACTTCATCAAACCTGCTGTAGTTTAGAGTCAGTGGTGAAGATGATAAAGGATGTGTTTTTTACCTTTTTTTATGTACTTGACAAACGGATTATTTGATGTGTTATTACTTTTGCTGTAGCTTGCATAGTCTTATTTTATTGAGTAATTTACATGACATATAGGAGTCATATTCCAATAGATAATATTTGAAGCTATTTTTCATGTTCTTCGATCTCTTCTTTTATCTTCCATCAGCAGAAATGCCTACACCTCTTGCACACAACATCCATTCACTCATTTTAATTCACCCCCTCCTCTAAACAAAGTCCTTAAAGAAAGGAACAATTGTTTTGAATAATTAGCATCATTAATCCTTGCCTGTTGATACCTGAATTGTAACTCCAGCCCATAAAATTGCTTATGTTGCAGCTTTCACGCAATGTATCACAAAACACTTTACAAATAATAGCTTAATGAAACACAAGAGAACAAGAAATCATCACCAGAGCAAAAGGACATGTCATAAAATCATTTTTGAACAATGCAAGTGATATCAAACGATTTAAAACCAGATACTGTCTGTGCTCCTTGTACTTCTCAGCAGAAGGCAATTCTGTGAATGAGGTGCATAGCAAGTAAGAACTTTTGAGCCATGCAGGTTTCAGGCAAACTTTTCTGTAGGCAGATTTTCTTCTGATATGAAAGCAGGCCCATAGATTTAAAGAGGAAAATTGTGCTCCCATGGAGGATTTATTTTGCTAAGAAATTTATGATTTATTCATATCTGAATAGAAACAGCATGGAAATTTAAATCATATGAGTATACCTAGCTAAAATCCTTATATCTGTCCTTTAGTTAATTCCAAGCACTCCATTTCCAAAGCGGAGGAAGCAATATGGGTATCCTGATGGGACTTCAATGCAAAATAGTCTGGGAATTGTACATTCAAGGACATCCTACCTGAATGTGTAGTGACTTTAACCTTCAAATATAGCTCTGATCTTCTAAATTTCAGAGAGTTATTCGTAAGTAGTGCCAGTGGGAGAAAACGTAAACCTCTCGTTCCTCTGAACCTTAAGAGGAAAGAGAGAATGATGAATGTGATATCAACTTACTCTTTCTATCTGTTACATTGTGAGAAGGCAGATATGAACCACAATCAATCATAGATGAGTTGTCTCTTTTTTTTGTGTGGTCTGTTCAAATGGATGGAAGTAGCCAAGGTGCAGTGACAATTACACACTGACAAAGTCAAAATTTCACCAGGATCCATTCCATTGCATAAAACAACAATATTGTGTGTCTTTTTATGAGAAGAAACTTAGGAAAGATTTTCAAATCTAAAGATTTCTCTCTAGAAATAACTAGAAAACGCTTATGATTTAGAAGGCATGCTAAAAATTCTTCCCAGAGACTGCAAACTGGTACAATTGTGAAAAACTTTGACAAATAGTACCACAAAGAATTGAAGATGTGTGAAAATATGTGGATAATGTTTCCAAGTCCCAAGTTAGATATCAGCAGCCACTGCCCAGCAGTATGCTTTCAATAAGACAACGATAATGTATATAGCAACACTTATTGCACAGTCAGTTATGCTGAGACAGCCCCATAGTGGATGAACAACCTCTGATAGACACTGAATCACCTCTTTACTGAATAAGGGAAAAAAATTCAGCGTTGTTCAGGATATTACATAGGTGATCAAGTTATATTTTGATACAAAGCATTGTACTGCAAAAACATCTTGAAAATCTAGCTGAAGGCAGAACTGTAGCTTCAGCAATATGGAGTACCAGCCAAGGCCTGCTAGCCTTAGTGGAGAAATAGGAGAGAAGGGATTTTCTGAAACTCCCACAAGAGGTTTGTGGTTATTTTGATTCCAGTGCCAACAGCCTGGTTTCTTGGCTACTGTACATATTTGTGCTGGTTTGGGCTGGGGTGAAGTCAATTTTCTTCACAGTTCCTACTAGGGGCTGTGTTTTAGATTTGTGCTGTGATAAGGATGATTTAGTTAGTGCTGGCCAGGGCTTACACAGTGTCAAGGCCTTTTCTGCTCCTCACCATCCCCCAATGAGGAGGCTGAGGGTGACACAGCCTCAGGAGGTTGGAAGGGGACACAGCTGGGACAGCTGACTCCAGCTAACCACAGGCATGTTCCATATTGCACGGCATCATGTTCAGCATATAAAGCTGGAAGGAAGAAGAACAAAGAGAGGGATGTTCAAATTGATGGTGTTTTTCTTCCCAAGTCTCTGTTAGACGTGATGGAGCCCAGCTTTCCTGGGCATGGCTGAACACTTGTCTGCCCATGGGAAGTGTTGAATTAATTCCTTATTTTGCTTTGCTTATATACGAGTCTTTTACTTTACCTAATAAACTGTCTTTATCTCAACCCACAAGTTTTCTAGTTTTCTCACTTTTACCCTTCCGACTCTTTCCTCCATCCCACTGTGGGGGAGTGAGTGAGCAGCTGTGAGGGGCTGAGTTGCCAGCTGGGGTTAAACTGCAACAGTGTTATACGTAACTGGTCCCTCATCAAAATTATGTAACTTAAATGGGAAAAGTGGTGAGAGGACATGGGCTATAAGTCAAGAACATGTAGGAGTTCTGCTGCAACAGGATTTCTTTGGTGTTCTAAAGCAATTTCTGACTGCACATATAACCTGGAAATGAAAACTGTGTAAGAGCTGGAGCTAATTATGAAACTTGATGCAACAGATGTCAGTTTAGTTGAATTTGTCAGTTTAGTTGAATTTTCTGTGAAACAGATGTTTTTATCA